GGACAGAGAGTGTTTAATGGTTACAGGGTTTTATTTTGGGTGATAAAAATGTTTTGGAACTAGACAGAGGTGGTGGTTGCACAGCCCTGTGAATGTACTAAATGCCGCTGAATTGTTCACTTCTGTGTTATTTCACCTTGATTTTAAAAAAGAAGTAAGCCCATCATGAAAAGACACACATTGTCTGAGTCCACTTATGTGACTCTGAAGTCGTCAAACAGAAACAGAGAGGGGAGTGCCAGGGGCCAGGGGCTGCGAGGAAGGGGGTGGTTAGTGTCTTAACGCGTATAGAGTTTCACCTTCGCAAGATACAGAAGCTCTGGACGTTTGTCGTGCTGTGGTGTGAATGTATTCATGCCACAAAACTGTGCACTTGAAAGTCATTAAGATGGTACATTTTATGTTACGTGTCGTTTTAAACCACAATTAAAAATGTTTCAAAAGTATTTTTAAAAAAAACAAGCACAGTATTACATATGTAAAATGTAACACTGCACATTAAGGTTTATTAGAGCCAGGTGCTGGGTAAAGTATTCTCTGTCCTTTCATGAGTGTTTAAAATATTCCACCATCAGGAAAAAAATTCTGAAATTAGTTCCTTAAGATACACGGGCAAAAAACTGTCATCTAGAATTTTTTTTTTTAGCTTTTATGCAATTCTTGAGACTTGAAATGAAGCAATAAGGCTTTAAGTATCTTTTTAAAATTAAAAGCAGACCTTGGGGGTGAGTAGAGCTCAGCCGTAGGGCACATGCTTAGCGTGTCCGAGGTGCTGGGTTCAATCCCCAGTACCTCCGGTAGAAACAACAACGAAAAAGCATGCCTCATACGTACACGTGCTTTAGAAAACGCAACAGCATTGCTTTGATTATCGCTGTTTAATAAGCCATTCCAAACTTAGCAGTGGGACCCTGCGACGATCTGTTGTGATGGTATCCCCTGGTTCCGGGGCGAGCGGGCTCGGCGGGGCGCTCTCCCACGTGCCTGGGGTCAGGGTTTCTCCGTCACTCGTCTGGTCCTGGGAGCTGGTCTGGGCTGGGACCTCTGTGGGGGCTGTTGCCAGAACGCGACATGGAGCAACTTCATGTGGTCTGGGGTCCCTCCCAGCGCGGCGGCTGGGTTCCAAGAGCCAGCAGCCCCCAGGGGCCCCCATCACAGTCTCCACCTTAGAAACAAGCACGGCTGGAAGGTGTCGCTTCAAGGTCACGTTGTAAGAAGGAGCCTGCTTGTCCTCTGCTCTGTCTTCCCGCATCTGCTTGAATGTGGACCGCGTGCTAGTGAGACCGCTCTGACCCCAGCTCACCCACGTTCAAGGTGAACAGAATTCGTTTCCACGCTTTTCTTCTCGCTTATGATTTTTTTTTGTCCCAGTATGGTTAAAAAACACAGAACATAGAATGTGTCATTTTAACCATTTCTAAGTATACGTTCGGTCCTGTTAACTACATGCTCATTGTTGTACGACAGATGGCTGCCTCTGCATCTTGCAAAAACCAAAAGTCATTAAGTAACAACTCGCCACCTGCTTCCGCCGAGCCTCTGGCCACCGGCACTCTCCTTTCTGTCCCTGTGAGTTTGACTCCTCTAGGGACCTGGAGAACCTAAGGTGAAGTCCTATAGTATTTGGCTTTTTTTGTGTGTGACTGGCTTATTTCACTTAGCATAACATCCTCAAGGTCCATCTACAACGTCGCATGTGACAGGATTTCCTTCCTAAATTTAAGGCTAAATAATGTTTCACTGTATGTATGCATTACATTTTGTTTATCTATCCATCAGTGGACACTTGGGTTGGTTCTCTTTTTTTTTGCCTCAAAATGTGACATTTATTCGAAGAAAAAAAAATGACAAGATGTCCATCCCTGGGCTCCCTTCCCTCCCCACTCCTGCTGCCCCTCAGCACCCCTCTTCCAGGGTGGCTCCCGGCGGGGGCTGGGTAGCAGAGGGGCCCCTTTCAGATGGGGTCAGCCACACCGAGGGGCGACTGCCCGATGGGGGTGCTGTAGAAGGTCTTGGCGTCTCGAAGGGTCCTCTTATCTTCTTCTGTCAGCATGCTGATGGCCACTGCACTTCAATGCCTCTGGCCTGTGGTCACGGACGAAGGCCAGCTTCAGCGTGTGAATAAGAGGACACAGAAGACTATCCAGAGAGACTTAAACACACGTGGAGGCAGCCAGAGGGAGCCCCTTCTCCCCTGGAAACCTGAGACATGCCAGATTTTATTCCAAGTAGCTAATTTCCTGACGAGGGGCGCCAGCTGGCCCCTTGGGGTTCTACCCGCTTGGCGGTCATAAATCATGCTGCTGTGAACATGGATGTGCAAATATCTCTTTGAGATCTTGCCTTGAATTCTTTTAGGCATATACTCAGAAGTGAGATGGCTAGAATATATGGCAGTTCTATTTAATTTTTTGAGGCACCGCTGTACTGTTTTCCACAGTGGCTGTTCCATCTTACAGTCCCACCAGCGGCGCCCAAAGCTTCCAGTTTCTCCACATCCTTGCCAACACTGGTTATTTTGGGGCTTTTTGTTTGTTTGTTTGTTTGTTTGTTTGTTTTGGATGGTAGCCATCCTACTAGGTATAAAGATACCTCACTGTAGTTTTGATCTGCATTTCTCTGATGGTCAGTAATGCTGAGAATCTTTTCATTTGCTTTTTGGCTGTTTGTGTATCATCTTTGTAGAGATTTCTGTTCATGTCCTTTGTCCATTTTTAAATCGGGTTATTTGATGGTCTTGGTTGTGGAGATGTAAGATCTCTTTATATGTTCTGGGTAGTAACCCCTTACCAGATAGATGACTGGCAAATATTTGCTCCCGCCCTGTAGGTTGCCTTTTCACTGCGTTCACTGTGTCCTTTCATGTGCAACAGACTCCATCTTTTCATGGGGAAATGTCAAAAAATTTGCAGACATGTTTTAAAGCCACCACAAGCATGAAAGGGTTTTTTGGGGAAAAGGAAAAGAAAAAAAAAGTCTAGCTCTGCTCTGACTGCCCTCCCCGGAGATAACCTCTGTTACAGGACTCTTGCGTAGCTTCCCAGAGGTCTTCTTTGAGATGTTGTGATGTAAGGTGCCTGGAGAAATTGTGCAGAGTTTGTATTTCTGCAAAATGAACTTGGCCTCTCCGGAACGGGTCTTGCAGGAACTCATAACCCCCCGTTTGTAGCATAAGGCAGTCGGAGTGGGTGATTTATAAAGACCTTGCTTTCCAGCGCCATTCTGTGTGAACACGGGCCACATGCTGGGAAAAGGCACTTTCCCGCACGCTCTGGGGCCTCCCTCCACCCAGTTGATGAAGGCTGAGTCTTGCCTTGGACGGTGATTTCTTAAAGGAGAAAGCGTTTGCTCTGAGCAGAGTTGCTGTTCTATGGGAGTTTGTGTTTTCTTTCACTTATGTAAGAACGCAGTTCCTCTTGCTAGTTCTGTGCTGGGCAGAACTCTAATTTCAGTTCTCAGTTTTCAGAAATTACAAAGGATGTGAAATGTGGCACAGGAAGAAAACAAGAAAACAAATCTGCTGCCCGGTCCTAAGATGCTTCTCCAAGCTGAGATTCGTAGCATTGAATGAAAATGATTCTCAGCTTTCAGTGAGCATCGATCACAGTAGGTGGTGGCTTAAGAATGCAGAATTCTTGGAGTTTCAGCCCAAATGTGCTGAACCAGTCTTTGGACTTGGCTACACGTGTACAGCTTTGCTTTAAACGGGAGAAAAGATCCAATTTGCAATAGCAACCTTAATGATAAAATATTTAGCAGCCAACTCCCCAAGAAACGTGGAGCTACAAATATAAAAAGTGTTGGGGGTGGATTTAGCTCTGTGGTCGAATGCGTGCTTAGCATGCACGAGGTCCTGGGTTCAATCTCCAGCACCTCCATTAAAAAAATTGTTCTTAAGTGTTAAAATTCTGCTATGAACTGTTTAGAGGAAGCTGGGCTGAGTGGCAAGGTGACCTTCGTTCTTAGAGAGAAAGAATCCGCTTTGGAAAGATGTCAGAGTTCCCTCAGTTTAGCCAGAAATTGATGCACTCCCAATGAAATAACCAACAGGGACTTTGGAGGAATTTGTGAAAATGGTGCTGAAGTACATTAAAAAAATAAGACAAAGAACAAGTTTCTACTGCACCGCACAGGGAGCTTTATCCAACATCTTGTAGTAACCTATCAAGAAAAAGAATATGAAAAGGAATATATGTATGCATTTGTATGACTGAACCACTATGCTGTACACCAGAAACTGACACAACATTCTAAACCGACTATACGTCAATAAGGAATAAATAGATAAATAAAAAGAAAACATGTACAAAAAAATAAATAAACCTAATTACCTCCTCCCCCCAGAAAAAATAATTTAGAAAATTAAAAATAAAAGAATACATGATAATTGCCAGGAAACTTCTGGAAATGGAGAATAATGAGGGGAAATTAGCTTTCTTAAATATTACAGTGAATTATAAAGATGGATTACTGGATACAGTTGGCCCTGGAGAAGGACTGGGCAGATTGACAATATTGTAAGAGAGAAAAATCCAGTGAGAGACTGAAGTATATAAAGAAACTGGCATGTTGAAGACGACTGCTTTATTCTACGGAGAAAAGAGTGGAAATAAATGGGGTTGAGATAACTGGATTCCTTTCTTATTCCATAGCTGAAAACTAATTCCAAATAGAGCAGAGCTTTAAAAATAGAAACACCCACAAAACACCAGAAGAGAATGGAGATTTACAAGCAGTTCTTGCTTTGGGAGACTCTTCTGAATGTGGCACAAAATTCATAGAAAAAGTAAATTTCACGAGAAAATAAAATCGCGTCTTTTGCAAAATATCAAAAGCAAAGCCAACTTGGAAAACACATTTGCAACCCCTGTGTGAGGCAAAGAGTTGATGCCCTTCATTTACAAAGAGCGCTAACAACCAAGCCAGTAGAATAAGTGATTGGGGAGGGGACAGCTCAGTGGTAGAGCGCATGCTTAGCGTGCATGAGGTCCTGGGTTCAATCCCCAGTACCTCCCTTTAAAAAAAAAAAAGATCACAGGAGGTCAGTGTGACACTCACAGAAGAAAAAATACAAATTGCTGATAACTATGTGAAAAAATGTTCAGCCTCATTTATTGTGAAAGAAGTGCCGAGCAAGGTCGTTGGTAATTTTCCACCTCCCCAGTGTGTGCGAAGAGTTAATGATACCCAACCATTGAGGATGCAAAAAAAGGTACTTGCATGTGCTGTTGGTGGGAGTATAAATGGTGACCTTCTTTTTGGAGATTGGCTTGGGAAAGCTTTTCAAAGTGGGAAAGGTGCATACTTTAGATCCGGCGGGCACACAGCTGGGGGTTCATCCCCATGGGTATGCAGGTGACGCTGGGGGTTACCCCGCCAGGATCTTGCTCCTCCTTCCTCTTTCAGAGTAGAACCTTCTTCTCTACAATGCATGTGTCCTGCATGAATGTTGATGGGCCCACACCCCAAGATCCAACAAGCCCCTAAAACAAGAGTTTCTGGTGACTTTTAAACAGAGACTGAAGTCAAAAGGACAAGGAAGCCACAACTGGTTGGAGAGTTTTTCCAGGCAGAGGGAACAGCATGGGCAAAGGCTCTTAGCAGGAAGGAGTAGCAGCTGTAGGTGTGTAGAGTTCAGGATTATATCAAGTTGAGGGTTCTGGGTGGCAAGTTGGTAAAAACTCAATCAAAAGTGACTTGAGCAATGGAGACCTTTGTCGTCCTGCATAACAAGAAGCCAGAAACCAGGCCGTTTCTGTGTGGGTTAATTTAGTACCTGACTCTCACCGTAAGGACCCAGGTTCTGGTTTTTCCATGGGCTCTCAGAGCACAGAATTGAATTAATCATCATCCATAGCTTATGCTACAATCTCGTTTGGTCTGTATAGGACCTGCTGGTATTCTTTTAAGAGTTAATTGGATTCCATCTGTAGGATTTGTGCAGGGAAAAGCAGATCCATAGAGATAGAAAGTGGTTGTCAGCGGATGCGGGGTGAGGGCAGGGAGTGCCTTTTAAAGGGTAAGGGGTGTCTTTTTGGGGAGATGAAATTTCCTGGAGTTAGATGATGGTGATGGTTGTGCAATGTTATGAATATACTAAGACCACTGAATGGTACACCTGAAAAGGCTGAACTTCATGCTGTGTGACTTGTATCTCAATAATTTTTTAGAAAGGAGAAATTAACTGGTTATTTTAAAGTAATCCATTGTCCAAGACAAAAAACCAAGGCTTTGACAATGGCTGGGAGCTGTCTGACTCCAGGGTGCCCCCACCCTATTTTTCCTCACTGTCGTCCTAAAGCCGTCTTCAACATGGCCTGGTTTTTTTTCAAGCACACACACAAATGTACACAGAGATGCAAACGGTATGTGTCTTTTTTAAAACCTGTGTTGTTTTTACCTTGGCATTATCATGATAATATATAATATCGTAAGGGTGCTAGGTGCTATGCCTGGGGAGGGCTCTGCGAAGTCTACTGGCCAAACACACGCAGGGCTCTGCGAGCCGGGGAGGGGGCGCCGAGGGGCGGCTGCTGGAGTCTGGAGTGGAGCTTCTGGAGATTTTAAACTCTGAAAAAATGATGCTGCCTTCTCCCAAAGAAGCGATTCAAAATAACCCCACGGTTCAGCCGAGATGTGGCAAAGCATGCCTAACAGCCTTCTCACGCTGACCATTCGGGTGCATTTAAAAAATATAAAACATCAGATCGTTTCCAGAATTTGTAAGAGCGGAACTGGCGGCTGGGGCACCGGCAAGGGAGGGGGCTGACCTCACCAAATGTGCCTTCCTGCTTCTCTTGAATTTTGTAGCCCTCAGCCTCTGAAATCTGAGGATTCAGGTTCAGATCCAGGCTTGGTCAGTTCACTGCTCTGTGCCTCAGTTTTCTCGTCTGAAAAGTAGGGATGATGTGGGTTCTGACTTCTGAGGGTCAGTGTGAGGACTCAGTGAGCTAAGATGTAAAAGCATTTAGAATTGTGCCCGGCACAGCCGGGGCTCCTGAATTATCAGCTGTCAATATGATCAATTTTCGTTGTGGGTTGAACCATGTCCACCAAAAAGGTGGGTGCAAGCCCTAACCCCCACAACCTCGGGATGTGACCTTGTTGGAAAGTAGGGTCATTGCAGCATCGTGAAGACGACGTTATATTGGAGTAGGGTGGGCCCCTAATCCAAGGTGGCTGGTGTTCTTGTAAGAGACGAGACACGTTTTGCAGTGTCTGTGGGTCAGGGATCCGGGTACAGCTTAGCTGGGTGTTCTGCTCAGGGAATTTGAAGACACGCATGGC